GAGTGGAGGCAGAAATACACTTTAGTGTGTGTGTGTCCTTTTGTATTCTTTAAGACATACTGTATAGACACCTGCTTGTGCAAACACACACACACACACACACACACACACACACACACACACACACACACACACACACACTGCAGTCAGAGAATCACATCCTGTGGCTTATCTTTTGGAATAAGAAAAGGGGCTTGTCAGGATGGCACATAACGTGTGTGTGTGTGTGTGTGAGGGGAAGGCAATGTGCATTAGGGCGATTACAATATCAGCCGACACCAGATGGAGGCAGGAAAATAAACAGTGAGAGAAAGAGAGAGCGAGAGGACAGACATCATGAGAAGAGGCCTAAGAGAGAGATTCTTTGTGTGTTTGTGTGTTTGTGTGTGTGTGTGTGTGTGTGTGTGTGTGTGATACAGTTAGAGAAAGTGAAGTTAATTAGCAACTCAATCCCAGTCTATATACAGAGGACTATGAGGGCAGAGAGTGTGTGTTTGTGTTGCCCTGCACAGGTCTATCAGTGTGTGTTTTAGCCCAACAAACACTGAGCGCTTTCATACACAGTTTGCCGTTTACCTCAACAACGACCAACCTGAATTTCCCAGCTGTCCGTCTTTTAGACGCCGCTTGTACAGCTGTCGCTACGTCACTGAAAGAAGATGAGGAAGTTTGATTTGGTCACATTTCTATCATGATGATTTCCTGTAGGCTAAACGGCTTGAAGTGAGGAATCCCGCCAAGAATTTACTGCGTCCATGAAACGTGATGAATTGTCTGACTCTGCCCTATTGGCCTCCTCTTCAGTTGCCCTATAAGTCTCATGTTATCTGGAGTAAAAACACGAACAAGGCCAATAAAATCGGTTTGTAGTGCTCGCTGTTGACTTTGACATTAAATAAGCCCCCGTAAAGGCCAACTCACAGCTACAATAAAGCAAAGACCTCTTTTCCTTGGTGAGCACGGGAAAGCGCGCACTAACACACAAATGCATACGCAGACACCGACACACACAAACACACACATACCTGCAAGTCCTTTTATACCACTGCTGCTCTTTCATGGGTGATGAAATTCAATAAGCAGTGAAGAGAACTGCCCTCTCGCTGATAACCATCAATGGGCCTATCGATCTACAAGGGCAATGAGTGTGTATGTGCACACACACACACACACACTCTGATTCCATCTATAATTCACTCTGGGACTTGGTAACAGACGGCTCTGAATAATCAGAACAGATCTATACATCTTGAAGGAGTGCATGGAACAGTGGTTTCAGTATCCAGTTCTACAGCTTACACTTGCCCTCTGACTGCACATCTTCAAACGAATACCCCACCATCTTTATCTTCATATATCACAGTTCAGTTACTGCGGCTGATGTGTTTGAATGATTAATATGTTGAGCTTTACAAAAGGAGTCAGCAACAAACCGTCCGAGCAGGAATCAACTCCAGGATTTGCAGAACAAATGAAAAGTCAAACTGTCAACACTGATGAATTAATGGCTTAGCATCTTGGGCTGCAACTTATTAGTTAGCTCTTCCAAGGATGTTGCATTTTCATTTGTTTTGTTTGTTTATTAGCAGGATTACACAAAAACTACAGGTCGGATTACCACGAAACTTGGTCGAATGATGGGGTATCAGGAAAGAAGCAATTAAATTTTGGCACTGATTCGGATCAGGGGGTATTAAAGAATGCCTCTTTAACATTGCGCGATAGTGTGTGTTTTTGAATATTTTCGTTGATTTGTCAGAGAAAAAATAGATCCTGATGAAAGAAGATCAGATGGATACTGAGTGTTTACAATTTAGTGCAGATCCAAAATAAAACGTGTGTATTGAATTTAAATGCAGTCTCATGAGGGGACATTGGGGATTGATAAAGGGTTCTAGTTTCATTCTCATCTGTTGAGGATTTTATTTTTTGTTTTTTGTCTAATTTTCAGAACAACTGTTCCTTGTTCGGACTGAAATACTAGAATATTTGGTATTTTGTTTAAAAACATATTAATCAAATATAAAAAACATTTTGCAATTAATTGACTAATCTGTAACAGCCCTATAACCAGTCCATTAAAGAAGTAGCTGTAGTTTCTGCAGAAGCTAAAATGACAGGACAAACATGCCAAAAAAGATGCATCACCTGCGTTTCAAGAAGCCAAATTTGCAGGTGCATGAGCCAATAATGACCCATTAACATAAACAGGCTTCTGCTGGGAGAATAGTTCATATGCTAAGAGAAAGTAAAACCTTCCAGCTGATACAAAATACACAAGGGGCCTTCACAGTGTAGCCGGCATATTAACTCTGTTGAGTCATCATCACTTGTGCACCATATAGCAAATCTGGACTGCATCCAAACGGCGGTGTGTCACACTTAAAAGAAGTGCTCCATAATTACATCACAGTGGCTCAGTGTGACTGTGCTAAAGGGTAAATCAGCAGTTTCCCCTCTGAAATAAATGAATGCTCTGTTTGGATGCACTATAAACCACTAGCAAGCTATTAGCTGTGGTTAACATCAAAAAGCACAGGAGGGGGAAAAAATTTAGATAATCCATGCAAAGTGGCTGTATATATAAAAACCACATTGAGTACGCGTGCACTGTGCACACAAATGAGCGCCATTTTCCAACCTGCCAACGAGGGATATGTGAGTTTGTGTGTAGGTGAGAATAAAATGACTGCCATAGTGTTTGCAAGGCCACGTCCGTGTGTGTGCAAGCGGCAATCTGATGCATTTAACCCTATAGCCCGGGAGGCAGGGGTGAGCGAGCGGGGAGGGGGGACAGGTGTGAGGCAGGCTGGTGGCTGCAGGCAGATGGCCCCTGAAAGTGACGGCTGATTCTGCAGAGCCTGGACCACAGTTAGTGGCTAACGTTAATACGAGCCTGTTTATACAGCGTGCACGTGGACGCAAAACACACACACACACACACACACACACACACACACACAC